AGAGTTTGAGGTATCAGCTTCAAATCACCAAGCAAGTCTTTGAGTGAATTTTACTCAACTTTCCATCAGAGTTCTGGCTAGAATTTGTGCTATGCTTCACTTTGTTGATGTTTTTTTCTTACTTTCTTTTTTTTTCCTTTTTCTTTTAGTAGAAACTTCTCAGAAGATGTGCTGGGGTGGAGAGAGTCGTTCGACCTGTTGCTGAGCAGCAAAAGTAAGTAGGAGCCTTTTGTGTCTGTCTGTGGGTGGCACGTGGGTACTCATGTGCTTTGGAGCCAGGCCCAGGACTGCTGAAAGCTTGGGCAGAATAACAGTAGTAGAAATAATAATAATGACCCCTAGTGTGCCAGCCTCTATTCAACGTACAAAGGCAGGTCCTTTGTTCAAGAAAATTATGTCTAAAAATAGAGCCATTAAGTGCAATTGCTGTCCTTTCTTCTTTAGTTCCCTTCTGTCCCTCGTCTGACCTGTTTCTTCCTTTCTCCCACAACCCAGATGGAGTGGCTGCTTTCCACGCTTTCCTGAAGACGGAGTTCAGTGAAGAGAACCTGGAGTTCTGGCTAGCCTGTGAGGAGTTTAAGAAGATCCGATCAGCTACCAAACTGGCCTCCAGGGCACACCGGATCTTCGAGGAGTTCATTTGCAGCGAGGCCCCTAAAGAGGTTAGAGCCCCGCCATGCACACTGAATGTGTACCCTGCCTGCTCCTTCCCCTCTGAGAGTCTGGGCTGGTGGGGAGGAAGGTGTAGAAATGAAGGGCCTTACCTGACACAGGGGTGAGTGGGCTTCTGTGGCCAGAGACTAGGAAAGCCAGACTCAGTGCCACTCCTGGGTCTTCACCCTGTGACTCATGATGGGGCAAGATGGGTTGGCAAGATTTTTGGCTTCAGTCCATACCCACCTTTATAGACCCATCCATTTTTAAAGGCTCAAAACACTCACCAACTGGAGAGACAAGGTTAGCACGAGGACCTTATATAACCTGGCTCAGTCCCCAGGCTGACCTGCCTGTGGGTTGCAGGTCTGTGGTCTGTGATTTTTTTCTAAGTCTACCTTCCCTCCTGGCCACTACACATGGTGGCTGCATTCGCCAAGGAGCACAGCGCCACCTGGTGGAGAGATCAGAGTAATGCCTTTTGTACCTTATTTTTGTTTTCTGACCACTGATGGCTTCCACATAATTCCGTAAAGGTATTTTAAGCCCCAATTATATTCAAGACACAGTCACTGTCTATGTGACAGTTAACTAAACAAAGTTCCTTACCTAATGGAATTATATTTGAATGCGGGAAGATGCCAATAACTAACTAGACAAATATATGCCAGGTGATGAGCTGTGCACTCATAAGAATACAGCAGGAAATGAGAGGCAGGGAGTACCAGCGGTAGGGCCTGGGAGGAGGTAAGGTTTTCCATTCTGTAAAGGGAAGTCAGGAGGGGACTGTTTGACATGGTGACAACAGAGACATAAAAGAATTCAGGGAGGGAAGAACATTCTAACACAGGAAGCAGCAAACGCAGAGGGCAGAGCCTGCCTGTCACAGTCACAGATGAGGAAGCGGGCCTCTGCAGAGCAGACAGGAGCAGGAGCTGACGTCAGACAGGAGGCAGGTGGCCATTGTGGCCTCTGGGAGCCCAGTGGGCCCAGAAAGCTCTTTGGCTCTTCCTCTGAAAGACAGGAGGAGACAACAGAGTTGTCTCCAAACTGAGCTGGGTTTTTAAAGGCTCACTGCAGCTGCTGAGCAGAGAACAGACCATGGGGATGGGGGTGGGGGGGTAGCGAGGTAGCAGAGGGACCAGGTAGGAGGCCCCAGTGCAAATCCCAGGAGAGCTGAGAGTGACTTGAAGTAGGGTTGCTGTAGAAGAAAGGGTAAAAGGGGTTGCATTTGGATACGTTCCCAATAGGGCCTCATGTTCATTCCGTTAATTCGGGGTGACTGGAGGACAGACACTGGGTCAGATGTGGGGACAAGCCCAGAGCTGAAAAGCTAGTTAGTGATAACTCAGGAGGTCCCCGCTGCCTGATCCAGTATCTGTGCCCTTTCCGATGCCCAGCCTGCCGCTGTCCTCCCTCCTCCCCAGCTCATCTGTGCGCGCCCTCCTTCCTGCAGGTCAACATTGACCATGAGACCCGCGAGCTGACGAGAATGAACCTACAGGCCGCCACGGCCACATGCTTCGACACGGCTCAGGGGAAGACACGTACCCTGATGGAGAAGGACTCCTATCCACGCTTCCTGAAGTCGCCCGCTTACCGGGACCTGGCTGCCCAAGCCTCAGCCGCCTCTGCCCCTCTGTCTAGCTGCAGCCTGGCCGAGCCCTCACACACCTGAATCTCCATGGCAGTGAGGAAGCCAGCCAGGAAGAGAGGTTGAGTCACCCATCCCTGAGGTGGCTGCCCCTGTGTGGGAGGCAGGTTCTGCAAAGCAAGTGCAAGAGGACATAAAAAACAAAAAAACAAAAGCGCTCCAGCAGCCTGTTTGGAAGACAGCAGCCTCTCCTTCAGATACCGTGGGACCCATGCCAGAGAGGGGCCGCCACCTCCAGGACCTGTGAATAAAGGCTAATGATGAGGGCTGGTAGGGCTCTCTGTGGGCAAAGGTGGTACAGGGCTAACACTGGCTCTCGTTCTCACCAGAGAAGGAAGTGTTCTAGCGTGGTTTAGGAAACATGCAGATAAAGGGACCCGTGAAAATGAGAGGAGGAATGGGACCCAGATCAGCTGTTGTGCCTGTCGCTCAGCTGACTCTCATCGCATCCTGTTTTCCTGATTCCCAGACTGTTCTGGGCAAGGGAGGAGCCCTGGGTGTGGAGCTTCCCCTTTGGCCCTCCTCACTGACTTCTCGGCTGGCCCAGGATCCCTTAGCTTGTCCCTCCTAACACACCTGCGTGTCAGTCCGGTCTTGCAGTTATGTCAGGACCAGTGCACTGATGTGACTCTTGCCCCATATGAGATGTTTATACCTCAAACACTGGCCTGTGAGCCCTTTCCAGGTCAGTGGAGAGCCCTGAAAGGAGGCTCCCTTGAATCTGTCCCAGTGCTCTGGGTGGCCCCCTGCAGGTGGCCCCGACCCTGGGTTGCAGCAGGTGCCACCTGTGAGCAGGCCCGCATGCGCCCTCGGACAGAATGCAGAAGCTGCTGGGGGAGGCTGCTCAGAAGGGTGGGACTGTGGGAAGTCAGAACCTGCCTGTCACCTCAGGGCATCACTGAACAAACATTTCATGATGGGAACTCCTGCAGCAGAGCCCAGGCTGGGGTGGTGAATTACCCAGGGCAGCCCCCTTGTGGCCTAGGGTAATCAATGCTGTTCTCTCTGCACCCTGGCTCCTCCAGGAGAGTATTTAAGTGTATTGTATCGTTGGTTTTGTGCGATTGTCATAGCATATTGTTTTTGTTATTGTTGGTGCTGTTATTTATTATTGTAATTTCAGTTTGCCTCTACTGGAGAATCTCAGCAGGGGCTGCAGCCTGACTGTCTCCCTCTCTCCACCAGACTCTACCTCTGAATGTGCTGGGAACCTCTTGGAGCCTGTCAGGAACTCCTCATTGTTTAAATATTTATTTATTGTGACAAATGGAGCTGGTTTCCTAGATATGAATGATGTTTGCCATCCCCATTTTCCTGTTTCAGCATGTTATATTCTTATACAATAAAAATGAAAGTCAAATATGACATCCTGTCTCCAAGTGCTATGTGAGACAGAGGAAGAGGAGAAGTGCTGTGGAGAGCTCTGGGGAGGAGCTGGCTTTTGGGAATTCCACAGGAGAGGTGAGTGAGCTTCCACAGCACAGGCAGAAGCAGTGGGAGGGCTCAATGTTCACCTGGTACCTGCCAGAGTCAAGAGAAGGGGATAGGTCCTAATGAGGACTACTATGTTCAGTGACTTTTTAAGCTCATGACAGCCCAACTTGTGTTGGGCTGTTGTGTGGACTGGACCGGGCTCAGCCCACTGTCATTTCAGAGCCCATATCTTTTGCCCACCTGACTGGGACTGAGCATGAGCCATTCCCAATTCTGTCTGTAACAGTGCGGGGGTCAGCGCCTCTTGGTCAAGTAGCAGGGCATCATCAGTTAGGGGGTGACTTTTGTAGCATTTTTACTTTTAAAAGTAATTTGTTATTAAATTCAATGACAAATCTTTTGTAATTTATGTTCAAGAAATTATTATTCTTTTATAATTTCATAGAAGTATCTGAGATGACACACATTGAAGCCACTCTATACATGAGGCTGCTCCATTCCGTGGGCCTAGGGAATAAGGGTTGAGCTGTGCTCGAAAGAATTTGGGGACAGGGAGACAGGCGTGATGGCTCATGCCTGTGAGCACTGAGGAGGGAGGCTGAGGAGGGTGGATCACTTAAGCCCAGGAGTTCAAGACCAGCAAAGTCAAACATTAGCAGATGTGGTGGCACATGCCTGTTGTTCCAGCTACTTGGGAGGCTGAGGTGGGAAAATGGCTTGAGCTGGGGAGGTCAAGGCTGCAGTGAGCTGAGATCACTCTACTGCACTCCAGCCTGGGAGACAGAGTGAGACCCTGGGGGTAGGTTTGCAAGCATCAAAATCCTTCTGTTCTTCCTCTGCCAATTGCCTGCTTGCTCTCCTTTTTCATCCTATGAATCCCTCTCATTTTTGTCTGATTACTACTACTTAAATTTTTTTTCCTTCTCTCCTGAATGATCTGTTTCTACACAGATCTAGACCTTACATGGACCTTTATTTCTCCCCTATTGGTAGTCTGAGTAAAGTGATGGGACTTCAGGAACACGGGGTAGAATACGCCATATAATCATATTTTAAGCACAGATCTAAGGAGTGATTCTGTGGACACCGGGGCAAGCCCTGCCCTCTGTTAGTCCTTACAGCAGCTCTGTGGAGTGGGTCTGAACACTCTATCATCCAGACGAGGAAACAAGCTCTGAGAGGGAAGGACATGCTGGGGCAGCCGGCCAGTGAGTGGCAGAGGGGGTATCTGAACTCAGTTAAACCACGGGGGAGTCCAGTCTGTGAAAGATGGGTGGAGGAATATGACTGACAGGGGAAGATGGAGCAGAGGACCTAGGGAGACAGGGACGTACTAACACTTGCCCTTTCCTACGACTTTGCTTCCATTTTTATGTCTTTAACATGCACGTATTGAGTGCATCAAAATCCCTCAGACCCAAATGGGTTGGGTCCAGCTTCTCCGCAGGCTCACGAGACTTCCTTAGAGGACTCTCTTATCCTCTTCAACCTGGGATACCACAATTTCCCGCCGGGTCTCCCTACCCCAGCCTCTCCCTGTGCTGGTTCATTTTGCACGCTGTGCCAGTCTTCGGCCCTGCAGCACAGATCTGAGCACTCCGTGGCTACATTCAAACCCTTCAGCCATTCACTTTCGACTCTAAGATAAAGTCCAGCTTTTAATCATGACACACAAGGGGCTCTCTGACCTGACCCAAGTCCCTCTCCAGACCTACCTCCTGCCTGGACGGCCTTCACTGTCAAGCTCTTCCCTTCTCATTTTTTGTGTGGCTGCACATGCTGTTCTGTCTGCTTACAACACCTCTTCCTCCTCGTTTTTTTTTTTACAAAATATTGGCAGTTGAGCAGTAAAGAGGAGAATGCCAACCTTCAAAATCCAGCAAAAACATCTCCTCTGTGAAGCCTTCCCAGATATCCCCGTACAGAGTCAACTGCTCCCAACTTGCTTGATTCTAAAACACACGGTTCTTAACTTTGATTGTAGCATGTGTGAAATTTCTCCGTAACTTCTCTCTTCACGGCTCTTGCTGTGTCATTAAACTGAACTCTTCAGGGTCAGGGTCATATTATTCACCTTGGTGAGAGGAGGCAGAACAGAGCGCAGCAAAGCTGTGGAGGCGGAACGTTGGGCTGAAATCCTGGCCATTCTGACAGAGCAAGACTGTCTCAAGAATAAATAAATGAACAGTTTAAGAAATCAACCTAACAAAAATGTATAAAATCAGTACACAGGTACAAAAAATATATATTAAACCTTTATGAAGGTTAAAATATTTTGCTCCATTTCATTTAAAAAAAAAACACCTAAGATATTTCATAGTATAAATTATTTCCCAGTATAAATATTGTACACTATAATTTTGAGATGGAGTCTCACTCTGTTGCCAGGCTGGAATGCAGTGGTGCCATCTTGGCTCACTGCAACCCCCACGTCCCGGGTTCAAGCCATTCTCCTGCCTCGGCCTCCTGAGTAGCTGGGATTGTGGGCATCTGCCACCACGCCCAGCTGATTTTTTGTGTTTTTGGTAGCGATGGGGTTTTACCATGTTGGTCAGGCTGGTCTCAAACTCCTGACCTCGGGTGATTCACCTGCCTCAGCCTCCCAAAGTGCTGGGATTGCATGCGTGAGCCACCATGCCTGGCTATATTTTTCTTTCTGTCTGGCTTATTTCACTTAGCATAATATCCTTCATGTTGTTGTGAACAGCAAGATCTTGTGTTTTAATGCTGAATAATATTTAAAAAATTTTTTGACACAGGATCTTGCTGTTGCCCAGGCTAGAGTGCAGTGGCGTGATCACAGCTCACTGCAGTCTCGACCTTCTGGGCCCCTTAGGGGTCCAGTATTGTAAGAGAGTACAAAAAAATTGTTTTACAATTTTGTTTAAAATTTTAAGTTGGGTGAAGTTTTCTAAGAGAATAGATTTTAGAAAATTATTTTCTGTAGTAATCATTTCAGCACGTTTACGTACATCAAAACATTGTGTGGTATACCTTAAATTTAAACAATAATAAAAGTTTTAAAAAATTGGAACAAATACTAGAAAAAAATGATAGTGATGTAAGACCATTAAAAAAAAAGAAAGAAAGAAATCCTGGCCTTTCACGTTGGAAAGTTGCTTCAGTCCCCTCAGCTGTAAAATGAGGCCACTAAGTGTGCACGTCACAGGGGCCACTGAATAAAATGAAAGTGTGTGGCAGAATGTTGATGCTTCATGACTATTGACTTTTATTATTATTATTGTCTGATTCCCAGTACTTAGCACAGTGCCTTGTATACAGTAGGCATTAGTCAAGTCAAAAAGTCTTTAGACTTTTTGAATAAAATGGCAGGATCAGAATTTGGACTCAGGATTCTAAATCTACTTTTTTTTTTTTCTTTTTTTTCCTTTTCTTTTTTTTTTTACAACAGACACCTGGACTTATTTGAGGACGAAGGAAAGAGGAGGGTCAGGACTGAAAAACTACCTATGAGGTACAGTGCCTACCACATAGGTGACAATCTGTACAACAATCCCCAGTGACACTTACATAATAAGCCTGCACAGGTACCTCTGAGCCTAAAATAAAAGTAAAAAAAAAACTGATGATAAACTACATCAAAAGAAAGCATAAGGAAAGGAAAATGTGAGATAAAAACAGAAAAATAGTAGATATAATAAATACTTTGATACCTTAAAAAAATGGAAATACACAAATT